GTGTGTGTGTGTGTGTGTGTGTGTGTGCGTATGAGACTTCAACAGTACCAGGCCAGTAATATTATTTACATTAAGAAGATTTTGAGCTAGAAAGGCACTTTTTGGTTTGGGAGAGGCCCATTTACCTACATTTCTTTTTTTCCCCAAATCTAAAAGTCTACCCTTGTACAGGTTTGTATGGCAACATGACCCAGTAAGGCTGCATTTTCATACTTGGCCTTCACCATTATCAAGGAAATGCTTCTGAGCTTTTGTACCTGACTTATTTATTGTTGCATTCTGGCAGCCATCCTCTGGCCTCCTGGCAAAAATAGCTGGATTTCATTAAAATTCAATCTCTCTTGATACCATCTCTGCTAGATATTAGAGGGGGACCGCTACCAATGGAGTTTCAGCGGCCTGATTCAGGATAGATTTTGGCTGGAATTTTCTAAGTGCTCTAAAATTACCATTTATAAAGTTTCTCTTCGTGTCTCCCCACTTCCTTGTGCCCGTGGCTCCCTATCCCCCCAACACAGGAGCTCAGCCAAGTCTCCCGTGGCTTTCTCAAGCTGGACACTGAGATGAATCTTGCTTCATATTTCAGGTGCAAGTCCTCGCCCGTCATCCCGAGTCCCCACTGCCGGGCGCCCTGGATGAGTAACGCCTGGGTCTGCCATGGAACCTGGCCCTGCCCTGGCCTGGCTCCTGCTCCTGAGCCTGCTGGCTGATTGTCTGAAAGCTGCACAGTCGCGAGACTTCACAGTGAAAGACATTATCTACCTCCACCCTTCAAGTAAGACTCTGTTCTCTTCGCTGCAGAAATGTCACTTTACTTCAAATAAGACGTGAGTTGAAAAATGGCCAGGAGAAGGCAGATTTCAATGCAGGGGAGGCCTCTGGTGGTTTAATTAAGCGGGGGGCACATGACCCCAAAGATGCTTTATGTTTTACCCTCGCCTTTTTATAGTGTTTTGTTTTGTTTTTACTTTAAGGCAAATTCTTAGGTTTGTTTTCTCCGCTCCCTGTACCATCGCTCTGATTCTGAACACCCTTCCCTTTGACTCACACCAGCCTCAGCCAGTTATCAAAGGGAATCTCCAGGTCCCACGAGGAAGGTGTTTGTAAAAGATCAGCCCTTTATAGGCGAGATAATAGCTGGTCTTCCTGTCTGTGCATCTAACTCTCAGTTTCAACATAATTATCTCCCACAACTTCCTGTTCCCTATCCCTTTTGGTTTCCTGTGTTGAAGAATTACCTAGGGAGTGCTTAACAATGCAGATGCCAGGATCCCTTCCCTAGAGTGTCTGATTGCATATCTGGGACAGTACCCAGGATTTTTGCTTTCAGCAAGAAGTTCAGGTGCTTCTGCTGGCGATATTCTAAGGATCACGCTTTGATCACACGGCACTTTTACTTCCTCTTTTGGTCTCTATCTCTGGAATGATCTCATCTCTGTTAGTTTTCTTTGGATCCTCTTCTGGATTGCCCCTGTGGTGGTGAGAGCTGGGTGTATTGTGTACATTTTGACCTGTAGCATTTGCCTCAAGGTGCATTACTCTTTTGAAATAATTCTGTTCAACAAACATTTTTTGAGGGTCTACTGTGTGTCAGCATTGTGATAGATGTGAACGATATAAGGGCACATAAACCATAGCCCTCACTTTGGGGATCTTACAATCAATCTTCAAAGTGGAGGCAGCCACATGGACTCCTTCAGTGCCACAGGGTTAGACTATTTAATGTGTGCATAGTCTGGTTTACATGAGAGGTGTTCCGAGGAATTCACAGGGCCTTGCAGCCCTCCTGACCCTGGGTCAGCAACTTTAGCTCAGCTGCCTCCTAGCCTCTAACTTGAAATAAATGCCCCGGCTTTGTGAAGATTAAATAAAAGACTGCCTACAAAGCACTGAACACAGAGCATGAGCCATAGTAAATGCTCAATGAATTTTATGGACATCTTAAGGGTTAATTCCCACATTTCTAAGGTAGATAAAATAACACATGCCCTGTCACATCATTTTCTGGATTACAAATAGTATCCGTAAAGTGCTGGCCGCATACATGATAGGCAATCGGAAGCCTGTTGTTTATGATGTTGTTGTAATTGGCTTAGCAGCAATAAACTGAGGATGCTGAAAGTATATCACTCTGATTTTTTAATTCCAAATATACTTTGGACAGGCAGCAACTAGTTTTTTTAGACTTATTGCTGTTGTGTCTTCTGACCAGTATAGGCTGGTGCCTACTGGTTGATTGTATAGGAAGCTTATATCTGGCTGCTTGTTTTTGCATGGCTGTTTATTTTAGTACTATTCATGAAAAGAAGGGGCTTTGATACTTGCTGTATTTCCTAGGATTGCATTTGTTCTTTTCTACAAATAGCCATGCTTTTTTATTAGATTTGGTGAACAAAAACCTAGACTTCAATCTCTTAGGTTTGATCACCAGGATTTTCAGTTTCTGGGGGATTCTTTGTCCTCTTCAGTGACAGACTCAGAAGTTGCCGGGCTGCAAAACAGACTCACGCCTGGCCTTTCTCTGAAGCTGTGATTGTACACACAGGGTGGGAAGGAAAATTGAGGGGATTGGATTTTAGTGAACAAAAACAAAACACACACCGCTTCTGCCTCAGCGGTGTGGTGGGTCAGTGCCCAGCTTGAGTGGGCCCTTATGTGAAAGTTGATTTCAGAATGGGATCTTTGAAGATGAGCTCTGCCAGGCCAGAGAGGCGATCACTCCTGCTCTCTAGAAGTTGGTGGAAAATTTCTGCTCATGTGACCTATGTTAATTAAATAGAGCCATGGCTTGATTTGAAAGAATTTGCTGTATAGAAAGAACTGGTGGTGTTTTCTGATATGATTTTGAAATATAGAGGATAGAAAAAGTCATTCCTAAGCTAGATTGTACATATACAATTCTCCAGCAGGTCTGGGCTGAGTTCCCTTTAAGAGTCTCTGTAACTGGTCCTGGGGAATCCAAGTTCTTACTGGGTTGAAGTTACCATCCATAGGTCCTACTTGGCTAGAATTTTGTTTACTCTGCCCACTTTAAAGCAGAGTGAACTTCACATTTCTGTGATCTATTTGAGAAGTTTTGGGTGTTTGCCTGCTAGTTTTCATACTTTGATTTTTTAAATGGTCATGGTCCTCTGCCCTGAGCAGTATCCACTAGACCATGTTTAGATGGAGCCGTCTCTCACAAATAAGCAGGTTTCTGTAAAATACAGGCTATAAAGAATATATGAGGGAAGTGTGGGATTATTTTGACCTTGAATTATTAATATAATCAGCTCACTTTGTAGATGGCAGCACAAACAGCTTTCTTGGGGTCAGCAAGTGAGCCAGATTCCATTAGTGTTAGATGCAGCTCAGAACCTGCCCAAGGAGAAATGTGGTGATGCTGGAGATGTGAGAAGATGCACAAGTTTTGTACACTAGACAAACATAAACTCATGTCTCCTGAGCCCTGAACAACCCTCAGAGATAAGAACTGTGATGAGGTTGGAACCTGGGTTGGGAAACTTCAGTCTCCCATGGCTAATCTCCTTTGCTCTCTGGTTCCCTAATTTTTGAAGTTTCTAAGCCCTTAATTTTTTTTTTTATGTCTTGCAAACTTTAGGCACTGTTTTCAATAACATTCTTTTCTGTAATTTGTATGTTTTTTTTTCTTCTTCATGTGAAAAATGACGAATTTCTTCCCAGTCCATCATTAAAGTACCAAAGCCTAATAAATCCTTCAAACACAGGAGTTAGTGTTAAGAGAAATGGAGCTACTTATTTGGTTGTTAGACATCATACGAGAGAGCAGAATTTAACATCCTAAGTGACTTCAGCCTGTTTTTGGCCTCTGTTTCTTTCCTTATAATAGAAATACTTCCTGAGACATCCAGTTTTTCTCTGGTTGTATATTCTGAGTTTTTACTTAATCTTGTGGGCCAAAGTGCTATATCCTTATAGAGGGCTCGCTTAGGCCCAGATAGTGAGTCAAGCGAGTTATTCATAATTCTACACTATTACATATAAGTTTAGCAAGTAAGGAGACTTTCTAGAAAGGTACCAGGAAATGCATTTCTATCAGAAATACGTTCATGGTATTAAAATTATACTGACAATATTTTGTTACTACGTGGGCTGAGAAGGAAGATCAATGTATTAGATTTATAGAAATTTTATATTTGTATCCAGTTTCCAAAAACAATGGAAATTAATTTGGTGAGAATAAAAAAAAAATGTTTGGCTACATTACACATCAGCATTCATTTCAAAACAAGATTCTCTTCTCACCACAGTTTTAGTAACTGAAGGCCTTTGTCCAGGCAAAAGTTCCAAGAGATGAAAACAAAGAGGAAATCTTTTCCGATGCCTTACGAATGAATTATGGTCCGTTGAACTATGGCTGACCATGAGAGTTAATGGACAGATTATGTTACAGGAAGTAACTGGGCACTTTGGGATTTTTTTTTCTTTCTTTACAATCACCTTCTCTTGAGGGACCAAGGACTTATGCCCTGAAATACAGAGTACTAAGCTTATTAACTCTGTGATCAAGAGCCAAATTAGATTCATTCACAGCTGGGGCCACAACAGTTTGAAACTCTACTTGCTCTGTAATGCTTTGAAGTAACAAAGAAAAAAATAGAACATCTCTTAGGAACCTCTTTCCAGTCCTTTAAAAAAAAAACTTATCAGATGCAGTATCAATTAGCAAGTTACTGGAGATGTTCAACTGTAGACTTTATTTTTGGCTCGATATTTCCAGAGGGAAGAATTTAACCATTGCTTGGTATTGTGCTATAATTATGAACTTAAAGCTGAGTCTGTCTGTAGAGATTTGTCAGTGAAAAGGATTTGGCTATTCATGGATCAGTACTATCTGCCAAGATGTAAGTACAAGTTTCTATAAGCAAATATTAGAACATCATTGTTGAGAATGCATACAGATATGAAGTTGTAGATTTAAAAATAAAAGTCACTGAAAATGAGATCGTTTGGTTAATTGTTAGTGATTCACCCTAATAAACACATTGAGAGATAAAATGATTTGCAACAAAGCTTTATTTTGCTACCACAGTGTTTTAGCTCTTTTTCCTGTTTAAATTTTGATATACTTTGAGTTAATTTCAGAGTCCAGTCCTACTTGTGTAGGAAATGACAGTATGTAATTTAATGGGTCATTAGTCTTGCAAAAGATAATTTTGAAGAGTCTACTAAATAATCCAAATTTGGGAACACTGCAACTTATTAGTGCTAGGTTCTCAATAAGTTTATTCTTGGAACAGCTGGATTGTCAATCTTCATTCTTAATTTATCTCTTTGATGGGAAAGTTTCCAGAAATAACTAATCCAACATGCCAGCTAAAACTTTTACTGGCTGCAGTGACAGACAGATAAAATTGGATACTCTAGTGAATTAATCATACAGGCTGAAGTGGTATGGCTAGTTTGCAGTCATAAACTTGGTGTATATGATCATTTTTTGGGAAATGCTGTTCTTTGACAAATAGTTTGCAACTTTTTAAGAAACTCCTACTCTGATAATTCTGCTTCAAAATTTACAAACTATTTTAAAGTTCTACCTTTCAAACTTATTTATATATTAAATATTTTGAAATTGATAGTGAAACTATTTTTTAATGCATGCAATCAGGATAATTTCGTAAGACACTTTAATTTTTTTTCATAATAGTATTTATAAAAATAAGCTAATTAAAATGTCCACAAGAATTTTTGAATGGCTTTGGAGTATGAGAATCTGTTTAAGTTCTTCAGGCATGTACTTACCTAAACTAGACTCTCAATTTTTTTTTTTTAAGATTTTTATTGGGGAATTGGGGGGATGGGAACAGCGCTGGGGAATTGGGGGAAGGGGAATAGACAAGTTGCTGTCCTTTTGTTCTTCAGTCTAGTTATGGAGGCCGTTGCTTCACTGGCCCAAGTTGGGACCATCATTGCGCTCTTCCCAGGTGAGGCAGATCAGTCGCTGGCTTCTGGACGGCTGCTCATGCTGGCTGCTGGCTACACACGGTAGCCCATGGCAACCCACTGCCACAGGGGCTGCAGCCTACGCCGTTGCCGGCGACTCAGGGCAGCCCAGCTCCAGGTTGAGCTGTTGTTCAGCATCTTAGCTGTAGAGGGCAGCGTCACTGGCCCTCATATGTGGGATCCGAACCGGGGCCCTCTGGCGTCCCAAGCCAATTCTTAACCATCGCACCACTCGGCCGGCCCAAGACTCTCAATTTAAATGTAACCCATCTATCTAGTGGTGGGATGTAGATATATAAAAAAAATTGTGTTTAGTTTTACAAAATATAATGTTTTGTTGTAATTATACATTAGGCAGAGCATGTTTCCCCATGTTGCCTCGTTGGAAATGAGGTGGTTGGATGGCTATGTCTAAGTTGCTTTCCATCCTCATTTTCTAAGATGACCTGTGCACACATTATTATTCTGTCTATGACTCTGAGTCACCAACTACTTGGAGGAACACAGAACTCTCAAATGGGCCCATAAAAAGGTCCAGTTACCTGCATTTTTTTAGACAGTTTATGACTCTTGATCTTGCTAGGTTATTCAGTGTTGTCAGAGTCAGCCCTGTGAACTATTGCAAGCATGTCCAAGGATGGGAAGCTATTCTAGGCAAGGTGAAAATCAAAGTTATATCTGGCCCATAATTTTGGCCTTAAGCTGCTGCCTCCTCCTTCATTTATTTTTGATAACATACTTAATTGGTTCCATGTGGGTAAAGCAATTTGCCCTGAGATGATTATTTCTGCCAGTGGGATATGCAGGCTCAGCCATCTGCGAGAGAGAACAGTTGGCTTCTACAGATGAAGTGTTTGAGTGTTTGCAGCTTTCAAAGAGGTCAGGTAATTTTACAAATTAAACACACACACACACACACACACACACACACACACACACACTCACACACACACACACGCACGCACGCACGCACACACACACACACACTTCTGTTTATAAAAGACAAAACTCTAAGCAGCAAAGCCAGCAAATGATTAGAACTAAGCAGCAAGTAAAAGCACATCAGTGAAAAGGACAGAGACAGACTGGCCTGACGTTCCTTGTGGATCATTGTCCTAAAATGCCGGCGAGGCCCTGGTGTGCTGGCACTTTCTAGCGCATGACTCTCATGGGACCCCTTCCTACCTGAGCGTAAATGCAGGGCAGAGAATACAAGGACCTGGAGGACAGTCTCTTCAGAAAGCAAGAACAGGCAACTCAGGGGCTGGGAGAGGAGGGGATAGAGAGGAGGGGCTTCCTGGGGTTACACATCCCTTAGGCTGGAGCTAGGAGCCTATAGTGCATGCATGTCCCCAGGGGTCCTCGTCATGCTGCCCCATGGACATGGGACATGAGCCTGAGAGATCCCTTAGAAGAGTCACCTCTGCACAGGCAGCATGTATTTTAGCAATGATGACTCTTCTCTTAGCTGATACTTAGCATCCCCAGGGATTCTTAACTATGTCAGGTCCCACCAGATAAAAATATTAGATTGAAGCAAAGAAACTGCCATGTTGGAAGGTAAAAAAATGGTCAAACATCAGGCAAGTTTTTATGATTGAACCCAATATTTGTATTTATGCATTGACCTGTCTAGTGTTGACACATAAATTCTTGGAAATCCAGAGTGTCTTTTTTCTAATTGAAATTTTAATTGAGATAGTTATAGACTCATAAGCAGTTGTAAGAAATAATATAGATTCCATGTATTTGTATACTTTACCCAGTTTCCCCCAATGGGAATATTTTTAAAAACTGTAGACTAATATCACAACCAGGTTATTGACACTGATACATCAATCCACTGGTCTTATTCAGTGTCCATTAGTGTGTGTGTGTGTGTGTGTGTGTGTGTGTGTGTGTGTGTGTATTTAGTTCTACATAATTCTATCACATGTAAGTTTGTGTATTTACAACCAAGTCAAAACCTAAACAGTTTCAATAGCACAAGGGTTCCTCCTGTTGGCCTCCTCTAAACCTGCCTCCACCACTCCCCTCCCTACCCTGACAACCACTAATCATTCCTCCATTTCTAAATTTTTCTCATTTAAAAAATGTTACATATAGTGTATAACCATTGGGGATTGACTTCTTTCATTTAGCATAATCCCTTGGAAATTCACCCAAGTTGTTCAATGTAAGAGTTCATTTTTATTGCTGAGTGGAATTCCATAGTATGGATATACCACAATTTGTTTAACCTTCACTCATTGAAGGACATTTGGATTGTTTCCAGTTTGGGGCTATTACAAGTAAAATTGCTGAGAATATTTGTGTACAGATTTTTGTGTGAAAATAAGTTTTCACTTCTCAGGGATAAATGTCCAAGAGTGCAATATGATAGTTGCATATTCAATTTTTTAAAAAAACTGCCAGGAAGTTTTGAGAATTCTTTTTAAAAGGTGGACATGTCTAACTTCACAATGCAAAATAATGTGCTCAGTCTAAAATACTAATCTTTTCTCTTGATCCTTTTTGTAGCCACACCATATCCTGGTGGATTTAAGTGTTTCACCTGTGAAAAGGCAGCAGACAACTATGAATGCAACCGATGGGCTCCAGATATCTACTGTCCTCGAGGTAAGCTCTCAGGGACAGATCGGGGTCACCAGGGCTGTGCATGAGTGAACAGCCCTGTTAACCTTGATGCTTGTATAGAGAGAATCATGCTTATCTCAATCACTTCTCTTGTCTAAGGCTATTAGTAGATTTCTTATACTACACCAGTAACTTACCATCAAAGACTCTCAGTCATCAGGGTTATCCCACCCCACCCCCCGCCTCCCATCCATAGGATTTCCCCCTCTCATGAAGCATCCTTGGAGTTCCAGAAAAGGTGAGTGACACTTCTCACCCCCAGGCCCAGCACCATGCAGCACGTGAAGAGAACAACCAGCCTGGAACCCACTCTTTGAAGCATTAGTCATTGCATAGTAACTCCCTTTATGTAAAGTATGAATCGATGTTCATATAAAGATTCTGTTTATTACATATCTTGCCAGAGGCTTCTATCCTGAGACTGCATAAAAGCAAGAATTCTAAATGTCATCACGGCATGAATAAAAACCCTGAGCCTTTTAAACTAAGTTCTCTTTGAAGGATGAGATGGATGCCTAATTGAAGCATGAAGTTTTGACCCAAAGGCCCATTTCAAAATGAAGTAGATGCTTCATATTCATATTTCTTTTATCCTATTCAGTTAAAAAGATGGCTATATTTGGCTACAGAGTCCCTGTTAATTGGCTCTTCTATTTTTGGAGGACAGTTGATTCATTTGATGGGGAGATGATGAGGATGGGACATTTCATTGACAAGTGTTTGAGCAAGTAGTTAGATGGGCTTCATTGCTGATCTAAATCATTGTTAAAATGGCTGAACACCAACACCAAATTTATTATTTTCAACATAATGCAAGAGTTCTCATACTCAGCCCAGTGAAAGGCACTGTGTTTCTCATGGAAGATTGGACAGTGGGAGAGCCTGGAAACTGCAATTAAGAGACAGATGTCGGTTACCTAGGCCAGTACTATTTAATCCGTGAGTCCCCACCTAGGCTGCCCAGAGGGAACTCCTGTGGGTCTTTTCAAAATCACTGGATCCTGTGCCTTGCCTAAACCAGTGGCCCTCACACTTCAGCATGATTATTTTAAACACAGATTTATGCCCCTGTCCTGTCCCCCTTCTCTTCTAGTTTCTGATTCAGTAAGTCTGAGATTTTGCATTTTTAAAGAGTTCCCATGTGATGCAGATGCCACTGGTCTGGGAACTGCATGTTAAGAGCCACAGCTCTACACAAACTGAGCCAGCATCTCTGACAGGAAGGCCCAGCCCAGTGTGTTTAAATATCCCAGGTAACTCCAGTGAACATTCAGAGGGTAAGAACCACTGGGAACTCCTTTCCCCACTAATGGAAAGTGAAATGTCGTGTTGTCATTTCTAGATTCCTCTTGGTTACTTTGAGGTAGAGGTGCTAATGGGAAAGACCACAGGGAAGAGAAAAACATGGCGACACTAAAGATTGGTTTAATCGCACACTAGCTATCTAGCCATCCAAGTAATCCAAGATGAGTCCTGTCCTCATTGCCCTCTGCAG